TTTGCTTAGTAACCTATGTTATTATGTTATAGTGTAAAACTTAATCCATCCCCTTTTAGCGAACATCCCACATACGAGATAAGCTTTTACCGAAGGTCTTATGGTAAAACATAGACCCAAAACCGATTTACCTTTTCATTTCGATGCCCCCAGAAGCCTAAAGCACCATCCACTCAAAATATTATATATGTGTTTATATACACATATATATAATATAATATATCCATGTTATATACGTGTCCGTAAACATGATAACTCGAGTAATTTTGGTTTATGTTGTAAACATTTGTAATCTTTGACCCTCAAAAGACAAAGTTTCCCAATTTTTCTCTAGAGCATTTTAAAGAGCTTAAAGAAAACAAATAATTTAGTATATTAACGTGTTTTGTAAGTGTATTAGTTACGAATAAAATTCAAAAATTGTAAATTTAAATTCCATGTTATTCTTAAGGAGAATAGTGTAAAATGATTTTGTTTGTTTGTTAATAGATATATTTTAATCAAACTTGTCAAATTTATTTGTTTTATACTAGGCTATTAATATTTTACTATAAACACACTTTATTAGCCTCCATGTAGCAGCAAACCTAAGTATTCATTAAACTCAATGCAATTTTAGATTTAATTGAAAATCGGGCAAATGACAATTCGCTTAGTCTGCAGGATTGCTGTGACGGGGGTATTTAATATTTTCTCTTACTCATTGTGTTCCTTCCCTCTTATATAGTACAGAATTACAGTTATTTTCAATAATCCCCTTTTATGTAGAGCATGGAGGTAACTAATTTTATTACTTTATGAATAAATGTTTAAATGTCGTAAAAAGTAATAATATTTCGAAACACCCTGTATGGTGTGGTTTAATACACTTAAAACTACTCCCAATCGATTTAAAATAACTAAAACCATCGAAAACCACACCTCACTTGACCTTAAACGTAAAAACAAAATTATTCAGGAACAAGGGCCCTTCGGAACAAAAAGGGCCCCAAAAAGGGCCTTAGGACGCCCAAAATTTTGGGGACTCATCGGATCTTCATTTCTCATATTATTAGTAACTCACAGGTGAAATTTCATAAATGTACAAATTTTGTTGTTTATATGGAGTGTTTTTGTATTATTTTACCTGTACTATTTAGCGAATTTCCCTATAGGGAAGTAGCTATTACCGTAGGTGGCATGGCAAGACCTAGGTCCGGGACCGATTTACTTTTTCATTTTGATGTCCCCAGAGGCCAAAAACACCATTCGTTCAAACTTTTATATATGTATATGTATATATATATATGTGTGTGTGTGTGTGTGTGTCCGTGAACACGATAACTTGGTTAATTTTTGTCCGATTTTGATGAAATTTGGTTTGAAGGTGTAAAGCAAAATAAACTTTAATGAGTTCGCGAACCAGCATGATCGGACCATGGGAAGGGGTTTTACGGGGGGTTTTATGGGGTAAAAATTGGTTTTTCTAATTTTTGACCCTATAAACACAACATTTCCCAATTTATTCTCAGGCCTTTTTGAAGAGCTTAAAAACAAATAATTTAGTTTTTTGTACAATAATTGGTTACGGAGAAAATTCTAGAAATGGTTATTTTAAGATTCCCATGTTATTCTTATGGAGAATATTTTAAATGTTGTAGTTTGCTTGTTTATGGATATATTTTGATTAAATAACTTGGTAAATTTATTTATTTTGTACTAAGTTTTTAATATTTTACTAAAAAACGCACGTTTTTACCCTCCCTGTAGCAGCAAGCCTATGTACCCATAAAACCTGATGTTAATTAAATACATTTAATTGAAAATCAATTCAGACAACTGGAAATTTGCTTAGTCGGCAGGTTTGCTGTGGCAGGGTATTTATTTAACTTACTTGAAAGTCATTAAAACCAAATTAAACCGGTTTACTTGTGAACAATAGCTTTGATTCCATTGGTTTTATAAGCAAATAATAATCCACAAATCGTGACATATAACAAATATAAACATGTAGATATTTTATATCAGCCTCCTCTAACTATAACCAACACAAAACACTCAAAAATACCCCCGTCATAGCAAACCTGCAGACTATGCGAATTTCCATTTGCCTGATTGAATTTTCACTAGGCCTAAAATATCTCCTTAAAAATGTTATATCTATACACTATTTAAATAACATTAGTTTAACAAGTACTTTGGTTTGCTGCTGCGCAGAGAAGGCAATAAGGTGTTTTATAGTTAAATGTTGATACAGTAGTATAACTTGGTATAAAATAAATAAATGTTCAAAATTTGTTTATAAACAAGCAATACAACAATTTAATTATCCTCCATAAGAATAACATGGGAGTTTTAAATTTACAGGTATACAACAATGCATAAATATACAAATTTATTTGTTATTTTGTGCTCTACAAAATGGTTTGGATAGAGATTGCTAAATCTTATGTTTTTAGGGTCAAAAATTGCAGAATCCGACTTTTACCTCATAAAACCTCCCATAAACCCCTCATAAAGTCTATGCACACCATTTTATGTTGATGGTGTTGTTTAATTTCAATCCATGGTAAAAAATATGGTAATTTCAAAAATGAAAACCCAGCTTAAAATCACCCCTATTGACATTTGTGCTATTTGATATGTCTTTGGCCTCTGCATGCAGATCATGACTCAGCATCACAATGCAATGTTATCAAGCTTCCAAGCAAGTAGGTCCAGGCACATCAGTTATGCAGGTCAAAGGGCAGCCTAATCGAGTGTAGAAGGGAACCATCACTCATTGTGCGACTGCTGATAACTTACGATCCCCTACCTTTAGTCGATTAACAAGTTTGACTGTTGATTCCTCGATCAGCACCTAAGCAGCCTTGCCAGATTTTTTGGAGGGAGTCCGGCTCAAGTGTAAAATTGCATAAAAATATAAGATAAAGTGTATAAGCATTATGGAACTGTTTATTGATAGTTTTATATGTATTTCAAAACTATCCATTGGTTGGATTTATATGACCCACCAGGGGTAAAGGTGTTGAATGAATGAGACCACAGCTCTGCTCCTAAGGGTCCTTCCACACGAGGATACTGGTGGCGGCCACCGGTCTCCGTCGCAGGTTGCTCGCCACAGCTTTAACATTGTTTTAAATGGGCTTTCAGGAGCAGCCACTGCAGTAACTGGTAACTGGTGGCAGCCACCAGTGGCCTTGTGTCGTGTGAAAGGGTCCTAAGATTATGTGGTTCTTTGCCCTACACCATTTACTTAAAGCCCAATTGTTAAGGACGATGGGTCCTGTTTCAAACTATCAAAAAGCTTAGAAACTGCAAAACCTTTTTTTCACTTTTGATTTCATTTAGAAAATTTGTTAAATAATGGGCTAAAGCAAATTACTCTGATACCACCCTACCGAAAAAAATATTCCCAATTTACGATTGCAAACCCATTCAGTTATATTCCAAAGGGGAATTTCTCTACGAAATTTGTCAATAGATTGGCAAAAATGTTTTGCAATAAATAGAAGTGATAAGAAAAGACGATAAAGCTAATCACAAAAAGTGCTAAGTCCAAGCCCCTGAGAAGTAATACCCAAGAGGAAGGCAATTGGCTGTAAAACAACATGACCCGTTTACGATGGTACTTTTTTGTATCAACACTAAAGGAGGAAACAGGGATAAAGCTTTTATCTCTAACAGTCATGACACTTCTTCTGGCATCAAGGAAATGATTATCATGTTATCTTTGATGAAATCGGGTGTCTTGTTATTTAATTATTATAAATGTAAGCTCTATGTACATTTTATATTCATTAAAATGTAGAATACATTACAGTGTCAGAAGTTTATATAATAAATACATGATGATTATCTCTCAAGAGTTTCTTCACCGTAGTTATTCACTAGAAGTTCCACGTGAGAGATGTCATGTAGAAAATATAACACAAAATTGTTACAGAGACATACATTAAACATGAAAATGGTATGTTTACTACCATTGACTATTGGTCGTCAAAGACTCTGTTCAGTCAATAATTTTATTTACGATATATTCCCAAGATGTATTAATTCCTGTGGATTTTGCAACTCCAGTATGTTGACTGTTAAAACTTTCATAATTATTTTCCTACAGCTCTGATGAGCCAAAGACAACATTTCAAATATTTTGTTTAACTCTTTTATTATAATGAAATTGGAACAAAACCATAAAAGACAAATACTTCAATGGCTTCTCTACCATCTCAAAAACAGATATTGTATTATTCAACAAGTTTAATGCTTCTAGATCCAAACCCTAGGAGGGCTATTAACGTCAAAAACAGACTGCTAATATAAACGCTTATTCTAATTCTCAACTTTAGCTTAATTGATTAAAAGAGGGCGAGTTAAATGACTGGGATAAGCAGCCAAGGCAACGTCAGTTTCCTTGCTGCATAAAACTCGCCTTTCACAAATTTAATTGCTGTGTCGGTGCCTCCATGAATACTATCTTCTCATTTAATTACGGAGCTGTTCATTTGAGTGTTAACAAATTAAAGCAATTGTGTTTTATTTTAGCTTATTAAAAAATTAGAACATTCTAAACATTTTTTTAATGGAGTGTGTTTTGAAATTTTTTTACTTTCATGGATTTTAAGCTGAATTTGTGTTTTTTTTATTGATATGTCAATAGTTCTACACTGGTACCAGAAACACAAAAGCCTTACATTATACACAAATATTTGAATGTTTCAAGGTACTGGCATTATTTTTAACAAAGGAAGGCTTGCTTTAAAAAAAAAACTGAAGTTCAGGTCCAATGGTAGCGAGATGAAATGTTCGAGTTTTTGTGTATATCATAAAGGTTTGTGTTTCCTGTGTTCCTGTGAGGGAAAGGACTATTTCCAATTCAGATAAGCCTATCCTTGAAAAATTCTTAAAAATCTAGGTTCTTGTGGTCTAAGATACATTCTTGTATGTCAATTCCGCACAAGGAACACAAGCATGTTGCAAATGTTTACAAAACTCCTAAAATTATATGTTGTCTGTTTCAGCAATCGAAAAGATGATTATCAAGAAATATAACATATCGCCAGACGACTTCCGAGTGATGGAGACTGTGGTACTGAAGGCTGAACCACACAAGGCGGGACAACAGTGGAAGTTCGCTGGTGCCTTCTACTACGCAACTACCGTGCTTACTACAATAGGTAAGGGGGTCAAGCTACACTGCAAGAGAGTTTAGAACTAAGTGCTATTAAGTGCATGATTAAATAACTTCCTTACCAACACTTCACCTGTGTTTTATGCAAATATAATCAATAACCATATAATGTTGACATTTGAAATTCACAATCATGCACTAGAGATGGTCAGCTGCTGTAGTTTTAGCGAATTTCCCATATAGGGAATAAGCTATTACCGTAGTACTCACATGGTAAGACCTGGACCCGGGACCGATTTAATTTTTCATTTTGAGGTCCCTAGAGGCCAAAAACACCATCCGTTCAAATTTATATATATATACATATATATATATATATTTATATATACTTAAATATATATTTATATGAAAAATAGAAAAATAGGGCTACTATATATAAATAAAGATTAAACATTAATAAACTTAGTACCCAAGTAAAATTATTTATTAAAATATTTACTGACTATAGTTTCGGCTCTAAGGCCATTTTCAAAGTAAACAAAAACCAAAATAAGATATGTAAATAAATAAATAACATATGATATTATAAAACTTTTCTAACTTGTAACATAATTTTGTCTTCATTGATTAATTTACATACTATATGATGTGTTGTACTTATTTTCATTAATATTTTCTCAATTTTGCTATTGTTTCATATATTGGATTATTCAATTTTGGAATCATTGTATTTAAAATATTTGATTTGTTATTTTTGTAGTTCATATAAATATTAATTTCTTCTTTTACATTCAATTTTTCTCTGTCTTTTTCAATTTCTAATATTGTTAAGTTTTCTTCGATCTTAGTAAACTTATGTTTGGATTTTAGTAAATGATCTGCAAAATTTGATTTCATTGATGTTTTGTTCTTCGATTTATATGCCTGTATATGTTCGTTGAATCTAACTTTAAAATTTCGATAGGTTTGTCCAATGTAGTAGTTGTCACAGTCAGAACATGTAATTTTGTATATACCAGATGCATTGTATATGTTTGCTGTATTGTTTGTTATAGGATTGTTGGTTTTATTGTGTATGATTTTAAAAATGTTATTTTTTGTTCTGTAGCTTAATTTTACTGGGGTATGTTTGAATGTTTTCCTGATTGCTTTGTTAAAATTGTTGTTGTATGGGACGCACATGAATTTCTTTTCTTCTTTGTGTTTCGAATTGTTTTCTAAGTTTGATTTTAATTAATTTCTTTTCTTAATTTTCTTCTTGATCATATTATCAATCATTTTGCTTCTATATCCATTTTTTTCAGCTAGATATTTTATAGTGTCGACTTCTTTCTTGTAATTTTCTTTATTTAAAGGAACGTTGACTAATCTGTGTATTAATGAATGAAAAGTTGCAATTTTGTGTGTCCATGGATGATTCGAATTTTTTGGAATTATTATGTCTGTAGTTGTGGGTTTTCTGAATATGTTAAAAGAATGTTTGTTGTTTTGGATGGAAATTGTTAGATCTAGGAAATTGATTTCTTTTTGTTGGGTTTCTTTGGTGAATTTAATTTTCTTATTAATATTGTTGAGATACGTTAATAATTGTTCAGATTCATTGTCATTTCCTTTAAATAAGCATAAAATGTCATCTACATATCTGTACCAATAAACAATGTTGTTTATGAATGGATTTGTTTCAATAATAATTTTGGATTTTTCCATTTCTGTCATAAAGATTTCTGATAAAAGTCCTGAAAGGGGAGATCCCATTGGTAGACCATCTTCTTGAAGATAGAAAGACGAATCATAACTAAAGTAATTTTGCTTAACAGTTACCTCTGTAAGTTTGATAATATCATTTATTTCATTTATTTTCATTTTTTTTGGTTTATTAGGTTTCTTTTCAATATAGATAATGTTTCTTTGGTTGGAATATTCCTATACATATTGTTTACATCGAAAGATAAGAATAAAACATCGCTAGGAATATCTATATCTTTAATTTTGTTGATAAGATCTTGGGTGTTTTTCAAAGAAGAATCAGATTCTAAATTTACATTATTTTTGATTTTGTTGTTTAAGTATTTTGATAGTTTGTATGAAGATGAATTATGAAGTTTACTACAGGTCGAATTGGTATGTCTTTTTTGTGGGTTTTGGGCTGTCCTCTTAAATTTGGTGCTTTTGAATTTGTTGCTTTTAATAGGATTTTATCTTTCTTATTGATACTTTTGCATTTCGTTATAGTATCATTTATTGCTTTTAAAAATTCATCCATTGGGTCTTTCGTTAAAATTTTATATTCATTGTTTTCTATGAAAGTTTTAACTTTTTTGTTGTATTCATTTTTAGATATTATAACAACTGAATTGCTTTTATCAGCTTTAGTTATGATTGAATTATTTTCTTTCAATTTGTCTGTTATGGATTCAATTAGTGTTATGTTTTCTCTTGTTTCTGATTTTGTTGTTTTGTTAATAGTGTTGTTACCTAATTTATCAAATTCGTGAATGTAATTTTACTTGGGTACTAAGTTTATTAATGTTTAATCTTTATTTATATATATTTATATATATATATGTGTCCGTTAGCGCGATAACTCGGACAAAAATGATCCGATTTTGATGAAATTTGGTACAAACGTGTAAACCCACGTTTATTCCAACGAGTTCGCGAACCAGCATAATCGGACTATGGGAACGGGGTTTTATGTGGTGAAAATGGGTTTTTCCGATTTTTGACCCTAAAAACGAAAAAAATTCTTTCTAAACCATTTTTTAGAACTTAAAAAAAGAAATAATTTAGTATATTGAAGCATTGTTGCATGCCTAACGGTCATGGAGAAAATTTAAAAATAGTGTAATTAAAAATTACTATGTTATTCTTATGGAGAAAATGAAAACTGTTGTAGTTTACTTGTTTATGGATATATATTGATAAAATTTGGCGAATTTATTTATTTCATCCTATACTATTGACACAGTGTTCAAAAAACACTTTTTACCTTCCCCGTAGCAGCAAACCTAAGCACTCATTAAATCTAATGTTATTTAAATAGGAAATAAATATATCTTATTTATGGAAATAATTAGTAAAAATGTAATCAGACAAGTTGAAATTCGCTTAGTCTGCAGGTTTGCTGCGGGGGTATTTACATAATGTAGAGTCTCTCCTCCTCACTCCTATAAATATAACCTGCTTATCTAAGTCGTCTTGATTTTCCTTCTGTTACTGTGTCCACTGTGTTCCAGATTTCTTCTTATCCTGTATTGTTCTTCTTTGACTTCCTCATAATTGCTCTTATTTTATTTGGAAAAGTTATTGTTTTTTATTCCTCATTGTCTTTAGCTCTGAACTGTTAATTAAGGACAACTGGTCTTTTAATGGCCTTTGGAAATTTATTAATTTAGAGTACAAATCAAATCAAATCAAAATCAAATCAAAATATCATTTATTTCGCAAAAAACAGACATAACATAATATTATGATCACTGTACAAAAGTATTTACAATATTATTTATTTTCCTAGGTTATATTTAATTTTCTATAAAAGCTTTTTAAATCAAGCGAAATTATCCCCCACAAAGGATAATTTGATCCTGTGAGTGGGAGAGAGTCGTTATATTATTAGAGATTTTTTTTAATTATGAAAAAAAGGAAATTAGAACAAGTTAAAAGTTGAAAGTTTAAAGTTGCGCTGGAGGACTGGACGAATGGTGCCCCCCACCCCCCCCCCTACCCTACCCCCAAAAGATAACCTGCTACTGTACTTCCCAAGCACACACAAACTGACCCAAACCCACACGCGCGCGCACACACCCACACACACACACACACACACACACACACACACACACACACATACACACTGCTGCACTCACCACGACACCAACAGGCGGCTGGTAGCCCTAGGGCCGTCAATGCTCTGTCCCTGTGGCGCAGAATCGGGAACCGCTCACATACGTGCTTGCATACAATCGTTCTTTCACTCTATCAGCTGATGTGAGTGTAAATTTGTTGCCTGTAGGTTGATCATTGTCTGTAGGTTGAGATCAGTAAATTTTGAGCAGTTGATCTCCCAATGCTTTGTAGCCATAGGGTAATTTGTTTTTTGTATTTGACCAGTGGTTCAAAATAGTTTTCGCGTAAGTTGTAGGGCAGATTGTTGTAGATAGTGTGAGCAACATAGTAGCAATTTGTTGTAGAGTAGGTTCTATTTAGTCTCGGTAAATAAATTCCTCCACCTAGTGCATGTCTGGTTCTGTATTCGTGTGTTACTCTTTCAAAAATGTCATTCGAGTGTTTGAATATGTAAATAGTCATGGTTCGAATAAACAATTGTCTGATGTCGAGAACGTTCATTTCATTGAAGAGAGCATCCGAAGGGTAGCGCCGACTCCTGCCTAAGGCTGCTTTTATTATCGCTTTTTGGGTGATAATTAATGGCTTTAAAATATAACCATATGCACAGCCCCAAGCTATTATTCCTCCGTCAAGTAGGGACTGCACGTAAGCAAAATATGCAATTCTGATTTCTTCAAGCTCCAAAATCTGCTGTAACTGGTTAAAAGCATAGATATATTTTCTTAGTTTATTATTTAGATATGATACGTGGTCTGCCCATGAAAGTTTAGAATCAATCATTATGCCAAGGTATTTATATTTTTTCACTCTATCTATCACTGGACAGTCACAATCCGAATCAAAGTTAGCACAAGAATGAATTTTCAACTCATTGATGAGTGTATCACCACGATGACTAAAAGCGATTGGCATGAATTTAGTTTTATCTACATTGAGTGTCAAAACATTTTGATCAAACCATTTTTTAATTTTTGAAATACCTCTTTCTGCGAGGTTGAGAACTGTCTCCCAGTCTTTACCTTCAAATAATACTAGAGTGTCATCTGCGAAGAGATAAAACTTCCCTTCAATGTCTATTTTAACTAGATTATTTATATATATTAGAAATAATAAAGGACCAAGGGTACTTCCTTGAACTACGCCATAGTCTACTTCAGCTAAATTGCTCTGAACTCCATTTATGACTACAAATTGTTT